AGCGAGTTACCTTTCAGCTAATTTTGTTCAAATCAAACCAATCCAACGCTGCGCCCGCAATGTTACATTTCGGTGTACGGCCGAATGCAGAAACTTTTTCGATTGCGGCCGCAAGCTGTTCCAGATCTAAAATAGAAAATAAGTGCCCTAATTAGCTACAATAATAGTGAAGTTGCTCAATTTCGATCTACGATTCGGCGATAAAGTTTCGGCATCGAGTCGCCGGTAATACGTGACACAATTGTAGGTTATGTTTTAGGTTATGCTGCTTTCTTGCATCTAATGAGAAGAAGTCATGATTAAAATTACCCTTACCTTAACCCCCTACCTTACAGGATGTAATTTCTCACTTTCTCTTTCTGCTCGCGACGAATCCGGCACGGCGATCGTATCCGCGATCGTAACGCGATTTATTTCACGAACGTTCTAATCGCTTGACAAAATTGGAAATAGCGCGCAACGCGACTCGACGCACGCACTGTGGCGACAAAAAAACACAGTGGTGGGGCACGTAAAGCTCACTGCGTACAGTATTGTTACCAATGTCGCGCGTCCTTCAGCCAGCCAGACACTCTTGAAAACATTGCTACGTTCGTTTATTCGTCCACTTCGCGTTCTCTGCACCATAATATTTATATCATGCATTATTTCACAATATCTACTTACATGTAAATCCTTGACACGCAAATCGTCAAGATGCAAAATTACTGCTGTAACAATTAGCGATACGAAGGAAAATAATCAACGGTTATTTTAAAATAAATAATCGACGGCATACCATTGGCTGCGTTCGTCTGCGTTTATTTTGGCGCGAGGGACGCGCGAGTTACTGTTTTCATTAAATAAATGTTTCTAAAGAAAACATCAATATTCATTGACCAACTACGATTTCAATTTCATTTTTCCGACTCGTAGAACGAATGCGATATCTATTGATATTATATTGGGACATTTATCATCTATATTTGCTAGATTTTTCGTTCGAACACATTTCAATCGAATATCTCTCCTTCACTATTTGCTATCTGCATTTTTCTCACGTAAAACTGACTGACGATGGGTCATCGTTATTGCCACGCTATTTAATCTCTCGTCGGAGCTTATTTGTTACTATTAAAGTAGAACTTTCGTGAGAACTAATTTACCCAATATTACGTTGTGTATAAAAGAAAGAAGTAAAATTTGCGCAAGGTACAAATAATTTCGCCGCTGCAAGACATTTTACAATTTCGCCTTCGTTAAACATGTCTTAATTTTAATTCGAACTTATAATTAAAGACGGTGACTCCGCTTTACTTAAAGCACCACGTTTTAATCTTGCGGTTTGATTACGCGACGCAAACATTTCTATAAAACAACTAACATGACCGTCGCGCGCGCGCTCTTTGCATAACCTTGTGCAACTATTTTATTATGCATTCGTACGCATTTACATGTCCTATTCATAACGAAAAAATCCCAAGGAAGGAACGATTCATAATTCAGCTCTTCTGGCGCGCTCGGGATCCGAAATCAACTGCCTCCTCATTTCGACCTCTCAATCAGCCGAACCTCCGCCGCGTAAGAATCCGCCATTACTCGATAACTAATTTACATCCCGATGCCGATCCCGGGTCAAACGTCGAACGCAGAGAAAGGGGTTAAATAAAACATTCTTCCGCCGAAAGTCGGCGTCTCCTCCTCGCTGTTGACCTCTCCCCCGCCCGGTTCAACGACACGCCCGCGACGATCTTCTTCCCCGAGGACGCGCTAGTATAAAAATTGTAAATCGCCAGATATGGACGGGCGTTTGTGTACCCGGCGGGAATAATCCCGCATTACTATCGGCCTCGGAACTTCCGTACCGGTCGTCGTGAGTTATGCGCCTGGAAAGATGTAGTCGAGGGGGATGGGCTGAGGTCGTTGGGAGAAGGAGGGCGGTTAGGAAGCGAGAAGAGAGAGAGAGAGAGAGAGAGAGAGAGAGAGAGCGAGGGGGATCGCGCAGGGCCATCCCCGACGTTGCGCTACCGGCTTCTTCATTAATGGTAATGATCGCGCGTCTTGGCAGTCTACGGGAGAACTCGCGAAAGGAAACGTCGCGATTTGTATTCAGGACACGGGACAGGCAAGAGCCAAGTGCGGGGGACGCGGTGCGGGGGCCAGGCCACTGGGTTCGCGAAATAAACCCCTTTGCCTTGGGGTAGCGACGCGACGTTGTAGTAGCGCCGGCTCGACGCGAAAGGGAAGAAGAGGAGGCACAACGCGCAGCCTCGCGCTCCAGTTCGACTTCCGACAATAAAAGTGAACTAAGACCACGCATCCCGCCGACCGTCGGATCGGTCTTTTATTTGGCGACAGACCTCGCTGCACCGTGGCCCATCGTATAATCAGAGAAGATTGAGAGAGGATCATTCCGCTGTGCTCTACCGACCGAAGCAAACCGTGAGACAGCAGCCTCTTGTCATTTGCTAAACACGCGGAGAGAGGTGAAATGCGTGTGATTCGAGCGCGCCTGCCTCTCTCTCTCTCTTTTCCTCTCTCTCTCTCTCTCTCTCTCTCTCTCTCTCTCTCTCTCTCTCTCTCTCTCTCTCTCTTCCTCTCCGCATGTCGATATGGAAATTGAATAAATTTCGAGATAATTAGGAAACCGATCGAATGGGAGCAGCGGTTGTTGACTTGTAATCTCTCATTAACCTGCATGGATTAACAAAACACAGTTGTGCAGTAAAACCAATTTATTGCCACAAATCTCCTGCATTAATACATCGGCGCTTTAAATGGGCGCACAAAATAGCGTGTATAAATTTGAACCAAAAAAGGAAGGCGTAAGGATCGATAACCAACGTTTTATCGCTCGGATAATGGTCCAATAATAAAACAGGAGGAGAGGTCGGAAATCAGCACCGCTCGAGTGCGACGAAAGTATATACGAGGAAATTATTTTCACTTTATTGCCATGGCTATTGTCTCTTCGGGATAATTATTGCTGGACTTTACGACGAGATACGTATTTTTCGCCAAGCGCTATTCGATAGTTGTGAATTGGAGATTGGATTGACCGTCGACAATCGACAACTGCTGCACATGAAGTTTGCACGTAAAATTTTGCCAGAGATATTTTCGGGCTGGTTAAAAATTTATCGGCACGAAAGCTGGGAAGAATCGATTCAAGCAATTTTGAAATGTATGACATTCAAGGATATTACCATTATTATAATCTCACTTATACAAAGTGTCCCAGAGCTCTTTCATCATATAATATACCTTATCAATATATTATGTAACTTGCAAACAAAAAGTCACTGTAATCATCAGATTGTAAATAATTAAAACTGGTTAATACGTGACATTGTTTTCTGCAAGAGAGAAAAAAGGAGAGAAGGTAAAAACTTTAGTCTCAAAATACATTTTATCACGTCGCATTAGATTTAATTCACAATGTTCATATTTTATTTAATAATATTTGAAAGAAAATAATTGGATGACTACTTGTGTTATATTTAATTAAACATTAATTTTAAAATTTCCATGGAAGTAAATCCGGGAATTACTTTTACAAAACATTTTCCTTTCCCATGTGAACGGTCTCCAATGTGAATTATTAAATTAATATAATGACTAATCCATTAAAATAATTCGAATGATATATTTCTTTATTCAAGCGATAGCCGCGCTGCCTTTGCCACCACTACAAGGAGTTTCGCGTATTTTTGGGGAGAGCGCAGCTCGCGAAATACACGCACAATATGCAAACCCTGAGTTTATTTTCGGTGAAAATCCTATATGACTCGAGGCGCTCGATCAGTTTAAAAAAAAATGCTCATGCTGTCTCTGTTGCGTGGGATTTTCAAGGATGCGACGAGAGCTTTCCGGGGCCATTGTATCGAGTGTTGTCGCGGTTTCGGGAATTTTGTCAAAACTCAGACTCACGGTCTGATTCATTCGACCCGTAGGAACGTCACTCGCCGTCGCGGAGTCGCCGCATGGTCATCACCAGTCCATGCCCTCTCACAGGATTAGTCAAATCCAAAAATAATACCTCACACGGGCCACGCATCGCGATGCAAATGGACACAGTGATATAAATCAGTTATATTCTAAGCTCTCTGAACTGAAGACTCGATGTCTGGTGTGGTGGCTGTAGAGAGGGTTACTCCGCTGAATGCGTACATAACGCGTGAAATTATTGTTACGAAAACAAATGCCATTGTGAGAGCGCCAGGCGTGAGCATGCACGATGGATTTTTGTTCGCGAACGACGCTCATTCGCGGCGTCTTCATTCTTGTAGATTTCGCTCACCGACCGACTATTAATACGCTCTGCCGTGAAAATCGGAAACCGAAAATATAACAGTCTATAACAGACTGTAGTTTTTATGTGGTTGCGGCGCTAAAATCATTTCACGTTATTATATTATATTATATCTTCTTATTATCAAATCTAATTATCGAAATAAGTCGGTCGCCATCCGTCAAGAGATAAATAAAGTGCGAAAGGCGAATAAGTAGAATCTAATATTCTATAAATATAAAAGTATAATTAGGCACAATATTACATTCACCTCAAACTTGTCGAGATTAATTATAAATTAGAACTGCGACTTCCTCGGATGAGATCATCAGCCCTAAAATAATAAAAATTACACGTTACACCGCAAATGTAGCCTCTCGCAGCCAATGCGTTAGCATTAAAATGGGCTGAGCTGCTCGGCCGAGTCGGCAAAGCCGCATTTTGCAAAATATTTATCTCTCTCTCTCTCTCTCTCTCATTCCCATTCATACTTTTCCATCAGTCGAAATATTTCAGACGCAGCGCCGCTGAAATATTGGAAACGGCGAGCTGTACGCGCGGAATCGCGTATCATTTCCGATCGAAAATATTTTCACATCGATTAAAGCCGGAGGCGACCGCGCGGTGGTTACTCTTTTCTCGTTTTTCGCGAAAAACCGGGGATCGAGAAAGCGCGCGCGCGCGTTAGCCCGTATTTCTCTGTTTTGATTTCGCTTGGCGGCGCGCGGTGTGCAAAGTGGACTTGAAAATAACCTCGCCGCGGGAAGACTCCCGCTCTATTAATAGTTTACCGACGTGAGTATCTTTGTCGCGGGTTCGGCAGCGCATCTACGCGCGGTTCGCTCGCAAAATCCGCCGATACAGTTCGGCTGCGTGCACGTGTGCGTTCATTGCCCCAAGGCGTCGACGCGATCCGCACCTGACGCCTTCGTCGTCGGCACTCTGCTGAAGACGCCGCTGCGGCAGAGTCCGGGAACGCTGACGAATTCGAGACATCCAGCCGAGCAGACGAGAACGAAGAAGATCAACCCAAAGAGGGAAACGAAGAAGAGGAGGAGGAGGAGGAGGAGGAGGAGGAGGGAGGTCGTCGTCGAGACGGGAGGTGACCGATCGTGCCAAAGAAGTTCGCCCGGCGGATACGACGGTCGTCACGACACTCGGCGAGAGTTCGACGATTTTTCGCGTTTTCGTGCGGCCGAGCTGGAGGGAACTTTAAAGCGCGTTTCGACTGAAGCTAAATAAAGAACTATGCAGCGCGCCGGTGCATGAGGCGGGGCGCGGTGCCTCGCCTCGCCGAGCGGAATATGTGAGAGTGAGTAAGAATGGTACAGCGAGCCGCATGCAGCAGCGAAACGAGCGCATCCCTCAATGGCGTACCGAGCGGCGAGCGCGAAGGAAGAACACCCGGCGCCGTGACGGTTGCGACGGACGCGGTGGTAGCGGCAGGTGCCGTCGACGGTGAGGCGACTACTTCCCTGACGCGCGGCGGCAGGTTCTCGTTGTTCCGCTGGTTCAGGCGTAGCCGCGACTCTACCGTGGAGAAACGACGGAGGACGGTCGCGCGGCCGGACGATGGCATCGTCCGACGACGCAGCGTCTACTCCAGCGTGGAGAGCGTAGACACCTTCTACAGCACCACGACGGTGCGCAGCTTCGCCTTCCACACGGGAACTCTGGGCCGTTGCGACGCGCTGTCCCTGGATATCCTCAAGCAGACCGCTGAGGTCGGCCCGTTCGCCGCTGGTGCCTCCAAGGTGTCCAACAAAGAGAACAGCGGCTCAACGATCGCTTGCACGCTACCGGCGAACGCCCACTCCAAGAGACGCGACATCACCACCCGGTACTCGCTGCACCCGTCGACGACCTTCGGCTCCTGCGGCAACTTCCCGTCGCCTGAGAAGGTCCTGTCGAGTTCGCCCAGGAGACCCGACGAGCACGCGAGGGCCAGTCTCGATGAGTCGGTGCGGCGGAGGGTTCACGTGAAGGGGAAACGGAGAGCCCCCAATCCTCCTGGCACGGTGATCAAGGTCGTGGAGGTCAATGTACGCGAGACGCCGAGGAACGGCAGCAGGCGAAAGCGACGAGCACCGCGACCGCCGGAGAAAGCCGCGGGGAATTGTTACGTCGACGAGCAGACGAGGATCACCAATGGGGGAGGCATGGATGTAGGACGAAAAGGGAACGTCGGCGAGGAACATCAGTCCATCAGTAACGACACATTGGTACTTCAGGGCGGTATGTTGCTGTCGAAGAAAGAAGTGTGTGGGACTTCGAGCATCGCGAAGGACGTCGGCGCTCCTGATGTCGGCGCTTCCAACGTGACGGTGCTTCAGGAAAGAGCGCAGAGTCCTGTCTCTACCCTGGCCATGCCACGACCTTGGTACAAGCGCAGCGCCTTCGAGCACTCCCGCGAGCACTCCGGCTCGTCCAAGAGAGGCGTCGTTCTTCGCAACCCTGTGACGTCGGTAGCGATGAGGGAGGAATGCGTAGGAACGAATCTGACTTCCTCCGCGAGTTATTCCGTCGACGCCTCCTTGTCGAGGCTGAACTTCTTTCATCGAGGTGAGCGGCAGGGCGACGACAGAATGCGGGAGGCCAAGAGGAAGTCCGGCCTGTCGATCTTGACGAACATCAGCGAGCTGGACAAGGAAGCGGCGGCGATCGTCCAGGAGGAGCAGGCGCGAGCTCGGGCGTCAATGTTGCTGAAGACTTCGACACTCGCTGACGCCTTCGAGAAGAGGAGCGATATCAACGAGGAGATCGTACAGGACATGGTCACTTCGGCGATAGAGAGCTCATCGCCCCGACGAGGCACCCGCGCGCTGATCTCCAAGTTCAACGCCATCAGCAACATCACCAAGGTCACGGTCAATACCAACTTCTTCGCCAGGAGAGATCAAGCAGCTTTCAAGTTTGAAGATCGAGACGCAGCGAGAAGCAGCAGATTCGAGCATATGGCGGACTGGAGAGACCATAGACTCCCGGCACAACAAGATCTCCGGCAAAGTGTCCGTGTCGACAAAGATATATCCAGGTACTTCTTGCCGCAGCAGCGAACATCCAGGCACAACGTCGAATCGTCTCGCGCGAACGTGAGAACGGTCAGCAGCAAGGCCAGCTCGAGCAGAGAGCAGAATGACCAACTGATGAAGGACACGTCCAGTAGAATATCGTTTCTACAGAGCCAGCTTGCGTCGAATCGTATGAGCGAACCGCTAAATATCCAGAAGAACGCGGCGTTCCCGATAATGGAAGAGCAGTCGAGATCGCGACAGGAAATCGCCGAAGAGAGGAAGAACAGAGGAAGAGAGAAAGACTCGCCGAGGCTGAACGACGAGGCCGGCAGAAGATCTCTGTTTCTTCGCGGCAGTAACACAGCTGACATCGCGGAAAACGCGCTGAACCCGTTAAGAGTGAAAGCAGAAGAGAAGAGGGCTGGAGAGGTGGGAGAGGTGCAGGAAGAATTCTCGAACATCTTCGACGAGATCGACCGACAACTGCGTTCGAGGGAGTTCAAACTCATCGAGCGGAGACCGACAACCGGCGAATCCGGCGGCATCAGGGCCAAAGTTGCAGGGGATGAGGCCGCTGTATCGAGCAAAGTGGCCAAAGTGCTCGATATCCTGGTAGAAGCCGAGAAGGATAGCAGGACAAGACCAGCGGCGATACAGGCGGCGGGGTCGATACGAGACAAGGAGGCACCGCGTTTGATTGATTCGGACCAGGGGACGAAGTCTGGTAAGACAAAATCGACCGCTCTCAATACCTTGGAGGACCCAATTACCGCGGATTTGAAGGAGATGTTGAAGGAGATGAAGCACTCGTTGCCGAAGCGGCCGAAGCCGAGGAAGACTGCGTCAAACGACGCCGATCTTCTCGAAAAGGTTGAGAAGCGCTCGCCCGTACCTACGAACAAGACCTCCTACGTCGCCTCGGTCACGACGAGAACGGAAACGTCGTCAAACGATTACGAGGCAGATAAGCAAAAGGTGTCCTCGTCGGCGCAAACCAGTGGAAACGTTCGTAGATTAAATCAGCCTTCTACTTCCGCCGAGCGACCGTCTACTTCGGGCTGGAGGCAGGAAAATGTACTTTACAGAACTTCTGGCAAGGGCTCGGCTCTCGTGAAGAATACTTTCCAACTGATACGACCGCGAGATTTCGCCGAAATAGAAGCTATGAAGACTACGAAGGGAGTTTACGGGGAAAACACTTATGCCAACGTGATAGAGCCCTCGCTGTACGCCAATGCTCATGTTCCTCCGCCCTCCTCGCCTAAGCAACGATCGGAACAGACGCGACCTAATATCTCACGGAATAGCCGTGTAAAGGTAGCGGAGACCACTACAATCGAGCGTAAAACCACGTCGGACAAGGACGAGTTTATGGAAGAAGGTAAAACACATCGCGCATTGAGCGCCTCAACATTTATCGGTAGTAAATTGTATATTTATATTTGGAAAAAAAATATTTCGTGTTCATGGGACTATACACGCCGAAAATTCCGCGATCCCTTCTTCTAGATGCGAAAACGGGAAATATTGAAAAAATATATGTAAGATTTAAAAATATGAAGAAGCTTCAGAAAGGGAAAGGATTATTTTATAAAATGAAGCTTCCTCTCTCTCTCTCTCTCTCTCTCTCTCTCTCTCTCTCTCTCTCTCTCTCTCTCTCTCTCTATTTTACCTTCAGATAGATCATAGTGTGCGATTATTGTTGCAGACGATAATCCACCAGCGAGGAACATGAATACCCTGGCTATAAATCGATTATTAAGAAAGCTGGAAGGGGCCATCGCGTCAGGCCATCATCAACAAGCGGCGGGATTAGCGAAGGAATTGGCGAGGCTCAAGATCCATTGTTCCGTGATACGACAGCGATCGGCGGCGCATTTGAAGGATCAGTCGATTAAAGTCAATATGTATATCGAAGACAAACTTGCTCACCAAGGACCCATACCACTTCAGGTAAGTAACGATACTGACGGTTGTTCAATATTCAAACAAGACGCTTCACGTATCGGGCTATGATAACAGCTGCCGACGAGAATGACGGTAGCCGAGCTGAAGACAAAGATACACACGGAGTTTGAGATACCCACAAACGTGCAGCGATGGATCATCGGGAAAAACTTGGCTGAACATGATGAGGCCACTCTCGACGAGTTACACGCGGTAGATGGCTCACCGGTGTTTCTGTATCTCGTTGCGCCCGGTATGTTAATGTTAATTCTTCGACGATAATCCTCATCGTTGGAAATTAATTTAAATTCTAAAAAAAAAAGAAAGAGATATATTTCAATATAACATCAAATTGCAGAAGTGCATGTGGACAATGCAGCGGAAGCGGATAGGCCGCAGCCCGCGAAAAATGAGACGATACCTGAGAAAACGCCGGGAGATCCGCCAGTGGAAGACTTACCGACGATAAACGAGAGTCGAGAAATCACGGAGAAAGAAGAAATTATATTGTCGACGGATGAGCATCGGGTAACGCATGCTTTACTTGTCGAATAGGCCCTATTGCTGCTCGTCATTTGTTTTCTCTCTCCTTGGCTAATGCGCCTCTGAATTCTGAACCAAGGAGAACAATAACGTAGAGTCACATAACGTAACGTACACCTCGATATCCTTATGTAACAACAGCAAGAAACAACGGAAACAGATATATCGGAAAACGTCAAAATGGAACGATACGAGGAACTGATATTGCTGGAGAACTGGGACGTCATCCCGAATTCCGAGTCAATTGAGTGCCCGATATGCTTCGTTACATACGGCCCACGTGAGGGTGTAATTCTGAGAGACTGTTTACACATGTTCTGCAGGTAGGAACTCCATTAACCTCCTTCATCCCAACTTTAATTATTCTTTAATCCGCTAAATACAACCGCACCGCCTAACCTAACCATATCTCTACCTCTACCGTGACTGTATAACAATCTCCTATTCATCTTAACTAATATCATCAGTATAAACCAGGTAATTTCTAGATTCGCGAATCATGCTGCGAATCCCGGGAGCCTGAACCTGCATTCGGATAGACGTCATAAATGCAATTAATTCGATAAACATGGCAAATTCCAAGCGTGACGAATATTCTAAATATTAACTATAAAAATGATCGAACTTACCGTTGAAATTGAGAAAGAATCATGCGTTTCTCTGGTTCGCGGCGGCTTTCGTTCTGCGGCATTCTCGAGAGAGGAACATTTCCTGTAATAACTTGAGATAAAGATACAGTCTTGAGTTAAATCGTTTCATTCCATTTAATATCACGACGCGATTCTCGCTCACGCCCGTAAAAAAAACACACTGTTACTTCTCAGACTTCCATTATTTAGGAATTATTCGGGAATAAGCGGATGGATATCTAAGTACCCGGAACCAAAAACGTAAACAAATGCCCATTTGTCATCGACTTTTGATTTTCGATCAGTTAATTTTTCCATTTGATACTTATTTAACATTTCTTAAGTTATTGTATACGATGATCGCAGTACCTCTGTATCTTGACTACCCGGATAATTTTTACGATCAGACATCCGTGAAATATAGTCCGAAGGACTTGGATATTCAGGTAGAGGACTTGAACCAACCACAAAGGTACTCGGATATTGACGTCACTAAATACATAATTACTCGTTGCAAACGTTCTGTCATTGATTCTAATTTGTCATAGTATCGTGCAAAATTATTTAGCCCCCCTCCCCGAATGTACCTACGTGTAATGCGCGTATTAAATAGCGATGCATCACGTTCGTATATTTACCCGCTTTATAACGCTGATTCATGCGCATTACGAATGCGGTAACTATATCAGGGCATCGAGAGACGAAGCATATACAATTACATCGACGAATCTCGTAACTCTATACAGTCTCTCCGGTAAGGAAATAGTAATGTGCAATAATCCGTAATTATATATGTATCCATAATATATATATATATTATGTATCTTCTCATAATTACCAAGATAGATATATACGCCCGTTTTCGCGTAACTATAATGGACTTTATACATTAACATTTACAGGCCATGCATCGCTAACACGATCGAGTACTGCGAAGAAGCAGAGGTGAAATGTCCATACGGGGATGCCGAGTATACATGTGAGTCGACACTTCAAGAACGCGAAATCAAGGCGGTGAGCTCCTGTGTTTAAGACTTACTGTTCAACTTTTAACAAAGTTAAAGCTTGCGATGATCCTATTACTATTTATGTCCAGCTCGTCGAACCAAAAGTTTATCAGCAGCACCTCGCGAAGTCAATCGCCCAAGCGGAGAATAACGCCGGAAATAAAGCCTTTCATTGCAAAACACCAGATTGCCCTGGTTGGTGTATTTACGATGATGACGTAAACAATTTCCTGTGTCCCGTGTGCGCAGCTAATAATTGTCTTACCTGTCAGGTGAGCATTCATAAAATCTTGCATTCATCATGAGAAATGACGATCAGTGGGAGAAGTAAATACATAAATTTGTAAATATTTTTCGCCAGTTTTTGGATAGTCTGTTTTTGCAAAAATGCAATTTAGATAATGACATAGTTGAATTTGAATATACATTTCCTTTTAATTTTAGTCTCTTTAAAAATTTTGAAACTGATGAAAATAATAATAGAGAGACTGTGTATATTAAAAATACACCATTTTTCAAAGGTAAAAACACAATTGTAAAATTAACTGAAGCAGTTTAATTAAAGACATGAATATTTTATTCATTAATCTCTTTTTCTTTCTTGGAATCATAGAAATATATTTATTTATATAATAACGCATATCCACGTTTAAAAAAGAAGAGAAAAAAGCAAATAACGCTTGATTTCGAAAGGTCGTTCATACTGGAAAAAACTGCAAGCAGTATCAGCAATGGTTACAACTTTCGAAAGAAACCGACCAGGAGTCTAGGAGAACAGCAGCGATGCTCAAGGAGATGGTTGACAGAGGTGAAGCACTTGCGTGTCCCACGTGTGCTGTCGTCCTTATGAAAAAGTGGGGTTGCGACTGGCTGGTTTGCTCCATGTGCAAAACGGAGATATGTTGGGTCACCAGAGGGCCTCGTTGGGGTCCAGGGGTAAGCATTAATTTACCTTCTGCACTTTGTCAGGATCTCTGAGGACTTATATCCCCAACAAAAGCGGTCTTATAAATAGTTCATGACATTGTTACGTGTCGCGGCCCTATTGATCGTTCTCGGTGCTTGCCGTAGGGTAAAGGAGATACATCCGGTGGCTGCAAATGTGGAGAGAACGGAATCAAATGTCATCCCAATTGCAATTACTGCCACTAAGGAATTACAATTACAATTGCCGCGATAATGGACGATATTTGCGGTGACAACAAAGTGCCCAAGAAACGCTTTTCTATTATTATATGTGTGCTGCTATAACGACTTGCAAAACCCAATTGCGGCACGCAAAGATGTTTTATATGATGTGTCTAACATAAGTCCGAACCTCGATAAATCAGTGTGCGATAAAAGTTACACTGCTTGCTCAACGATTAATGTTATCGTGACACCATTTTTTTAATCGAATTCAAATGAGGTTGTAATAAAAAAAGAAGAATGCATCTGACTTTGTACCGATACGTCTTATTCTTATCGTAAATACGAGAGAAAGAAATAAATCGTACTTTACTTAAAGCTTTAAATAAATCTAGAGCGTTACAATAAATTATCGATACAAAGTGTTCAATTATACAGGCACCGATTTTTCGTTCTTGTCGGGAGCTGCTTCGTTTATGCTGATCTGCTTTAATCGAGCGACCAATGTGGATTGGTGTTGCGTGAGCTGCTGATTTAAGTTGTTACCGCCTGCATTCTGTAGCACCTGAACAAGGTGCATTCGTGATGTCGTAAGATCCGATTTTCCGTATCTCAAAAAGTTCTCCTTGTTCAATAAACGTCCTTCCAGTATACCCGCTATACACAAAAAAAAATAGATAATTATTTTTTCCGCTTTCTCATTTTAATTCTTTACGGAGCAAAGTTGCTTACCTAATAAAACAACGCTTGGACACTTTTTGGAAATTTTCTCGAAGGCAGCCACATTCATGTCAGGACTGAACACAAGAGTAAACGATGACGAGTACAGCGGTAGTGACGCCGCGTAAGGCGAATCTTCCAGTGCCAATTTCATGATCTTACTGCTATATCGTTTTAAGTACATGTTTGCTTTCTTCAACAAAACTTTAAATTCAAACATATCATCCATTATTATAGAATTTTGGTGACAAATGGCAATCATTTTGGACTCATCAAACCAGTTCCGGACCTCACGTGCTATTATTCTTTGGTAGGGATTATAGTTTTCTATTTTTTCGGTCACTTTCTTTCGTTGACACATTTCCTCCAAACTTCTATCTTTGTATCTATGTTCATAAAAAGGCAATAAAAAGACGTTTACCAATCCTCTTAGATAATGTGGTTTTCTAGGTTTTGTTATGTTAATTTTGCTTCGAAAACGCTTCTGTTGATAAAGGATTGTACTTGGAATAATCTGGAATCCTGAAACACAATACGATAATATTATTCATTATCTTCGAATAAAAGAAACATTTGATTAAGAAATAATTAGTTGAATAGTTCTATTTACGATGTTTTACCTTTATATTTGTCTTCAGTGTCAATTTTTTGTTACGATTTCGAAGTATTTGAGTGATTGTTATGCGTTAGATTGATGAGAACGGAAGTGCGTTTTGGAAGTCTGAATCGATCGGTAACAACAAAGTAATTCCTACTTCGGAAGTGTACGCTACTCAATTTATAAATCATTTAAACTACATACAAGTGTTTTATATCGTAATAAGTACATAATTAATAAGGTATCTCGATTGAAAACGAGTAAAAAAATTATATATACAAAATTGTGTTCTTTTAACGATACAAGGCACTTTGGAACAGATCATATATATATATAAACGTACACATATATGTATATGTATAAAATATATACTTCTACATGTGCAAATGTGTATATATTTGCAAAGTCACGATATAATGTATATGTATATTATTTACTCTTATACTAAATTCCGGATTCATCTCGAAAATTCTCATTGTGATTACGCGATATAATTGATTGTTCCACTGCAATAATTACTAGTCTCGTGTCTTGTTTCTATACTATCGCCGAAATTAAGTGATTTCCTGTTCTTGCCCAGTCGCAACATCGATCGAATACCGCCTTTCTTCCGCGAACGCTTATATCGATCGTCTAAGGCTGAATTAAGAGAAGCCTGCTTAACGTCCCCTCGGCTGTTTGAGAAACCTTCTCGCTCGTCTTTGATATTATTGCTACTCGTAACTTCACCACGCACGTCATCCACCAGCCAGTGTTTCCTCGGCGAAAGAAATGTATTGCATCCGGGAATAGTATACATGTATTCCGATTGAGCAGGATCGACGGATTTTTCATAGTGTTTCGTGGTGTTATCGGTACTTGTATTTTCGGCTAAGGCCCCTTTGCTCGTATGCTTCTCAAAATTGTTCAACTTGCCGCTCCTCTTCGAATGATCTTCTAAATTACTCGATTGGTTGCTTGCTTGACTGCTCAATTTCTGGCTAGTTTGCTCCACAGCCTTATTTTCTCTACCTTCGCGCAACTTTTTATTCCTCTTGTAAGTATCCGTATTTTTAGCGTCAAGTGCTGCGTGTCGTTTCTCAGACATACTCTGTCTCCCAAGAGCATCGCGAGAAAATTTATTGGACGAAGAATTAAACTCTTCTAAGGATAACTGGCTGTCGTACGTAGGGTCTCCGGAATATTGGCTGTCCTTATCCTCGGTATTTCGTTTGGCGTCATTTCCTTGAGAAATGTCGTTAGATTCCTCTAACAATATTGGCTCGACCCGGTCATCGCGCGATCCTATAGTTATCTTCTTTACATTGCTAACGGGTTCTATCCATGTCTTGTTAGTGGCGAGACAATAACTCTCGTTCCTTAGACTATTCTTATTATACTGCTCTGTTAGTCTATCGATGACAGGGTTCCATGGTGAAGCTGTTACGCAAGACAACAGCCCTCCGTTATCTAATATATCTGCTTGAGAATTTAAGGTGTTCTTCTCCTTGACTCTACCTTCACTTACTTTAGTGGAATCTGATATGTATATACTACTGACAGATTCTGGCTTACGATAAGACGGTAAATTATCTACAATATTCTTCTCACTATCATATGATGATATTCTCCTGGCTATTGTAAGAGTTATCACGCCAGTTACCGGGCTGTTTGTATTAAGCATTGCCCTCCTTAAAGTCTCCATCGCATCAGAGTTGGATAATCCCAATAAAGATACACCATTTACATTGAGCAATTGATCATTTGTCCGCAAGCGACCATCCCTAGATGCTGCACCCCCGTTGATAACACTTTTTATGAAAATCCCTAAGTCCATATTGTTATCATCAGAACTGTTGGTTTTGCCTTTAACGCTGACACCTAACCCAGCTTTTTCAGAATCATGCACCGGTATGTCTAAAGTCAATATCATACGATTCTTCCGTGGAGATAAGACGATATCTTCGGAGGATTTTGTAGATTTATACGTACATTTATCATAATTGTGAGTGGTTATTTTATCTGGTATATCGTTCTTTTTTGCTGATGATCTATTTAATGCATTCCAATATTTTGAATTCTCCAACACATCGGTAACCATGGAAGTAGATGTCGCAGTGCCCTGAGGGTCTGGAATGCTTGAAGAAATTTCTTCTTGTCGTGATACTACTATCCTAACTTTTCCACCAGAAGGGATATTTCTCAGCAGTGACACGACTTCAGCTTGACTTTTACCAGTCATCTCCTTGTTGTTTACTTCTAGCAATCTATCACCTGGTCTTAGTCTACCATCCTCAACCGCAGCACCTTTTGGTAATATATTCTTAATATATATGGGACAATGTCCTCCTGCCGGATTATCACGTGTGGTAACACTAAACCCTAAACCATTGCTTCCTTTTGTCAATTCTATCTCTATCATCCGTCCAATTTTCCTAGTATTTGCAGTTTGTAAAAGATTATAGTTGCTGCACTGAAGTTTTTTGATATTGTCATCACCGTTGGCCTTTTCCGCTTCTCCACTGGTATTACCAACAATTTTATTCAAAGCTTTTTCATTTCTTACCTTCTGCTTATGTTTAACAACAGATATTTGTAGACAGGGATCATTCATACATGTTCTAAAAATCTCTTGAACCTTTGCAAATGGTATGTGCAACAAGTTATGACCATTTATCTTTATAATATTATCATGTAAATTGATTTGTCCATCCCTAGCAATACGGCCATTTGGTTCAATACCTTCAACCCTGAGTCCTTGATCATTGCCTAATAAATCATAACATGGCACCACATGCAGCCCTAGTGGTCCTGCTTCATTTTTTATCACAATTTCACGTACCTCTTGATCCTTATATTCAATATTATTACCAAATTCATACGAGGCCTTAGAATCTTGACCCAAAGGTTCCCTTCGTCGAGATTCTCTAGGTAGAGACTGAGCAGAATATGTTGCGAGACAAGGTTCTCTGGTTGATAATGCATGCATCGACAACCGCTTCGTGCTCTCTCTCTTAATACTACTAGTAGGTACAGAGGAATGGATATCAATAGAATAAGCTTGCTCTTTCCCATCTGTATGAAAGAAGTCAGGGCTGTTTGTGCCAACTGAACTTGCACCATCTCCACCGACGTGATTGACATCAGAGCTTGCAAAGTGCGCCACAATTTGTTCCCTGTCATCAGCTACATCGCATAATCTGTCATCTGGATCCAACAAACCACCTCCAGTCAAGGAAGACAAGCTGTTGATGGTCAGAGTGTTGTCATTTTTGCCAGTGGCCTTCTTATATCTCAGAATGGCCTCGTGCATCAGATCTCTCACAAACAGAGTTCCATCTCCGCACGGGACCACTACCCTGACGTGGTCGAAACACACGGTTACCTTCATGCTGCTCCCGATTTCATATTATGGAAATGTACGAGCACAGGTGTGTGCGTCCAAACGATCGCAACAATGATGAAACTGTCTAATAATTTAAATTCATTCAACGCCAAACAAACACAGAACACTGTCGCGCGCTCTCCGCGATGTGGCGTGTGATGGACTCGGAGTCGGGTACTAATGCGATTATCGTGTTTTACTCGAGTCACTTCTCTCCATATCTCGATAATGATTCACCGATGCTGATACTGCGCGTTATGGGTGTTAAGCGGTATCCTCGTGATTCGCGTACTGAGCGCGCAACACAAAAGTATCAAGAGAACGCTCGAGAATATTGATACTTTGTCAGGATAATTGATAAGGCGACGCGTACGCCCAACTTTATCGAGATATCAAATATGCGGAATAGACGCACTCGCCATTACAACATTTTAGTTCCGTCGTTTCACTGCCGCGACGGAACGGTGGAATCGAATAAAATGGCAGCTTACGCAGTACTACCAAAAGAAACTTCTCTAACGTGTCGAATGGTCGGTCGATTTTAGGACGGCATGATTTTGTTCACAGAGGGTCGATATGAATTACACATACCTTTTCTTAGATACTGCGTCATTTCTGAAGTGCTTGTCCACGCGGCTGTAATGTTGATAAAAAGAACAAACGTATCTTGACACCAAATATAGCTTATGGGTTATAGTACTACTATTTGTCACGGGCTATGAAGAAGTGGTCTTAATCCGTCGTTTCTTGTCCAAAGCGCCATTATAGATTGGTCCGCAATACGCGACTACCGCTCATTACTTTCGTTTACATTAAATAGCTGCATATCTTGCTTCGACACATAATACAGGTGAACAGATAATTTTACAGTTTTACAAAAAATATATAAATCGAACCATAAAACATATAATGTTCCTTCTAATATGTTTACAATGCATTTTAATACTGAAACGTCATAAGAATTATAATTTCAACATGTTTATACATATTGTGCACGTTTATGTATATATTCAAGTATCTTTGTTGCTTTCTCAAATAATCATCAGTCATGATGTCGAAATATATATCCGGTCAACAGATCTCCAAAGGATGTTCTAAAGGTAGTATTCATTAGAGATATAATAATTACAAAAAAATATAATAATTACAATAGTACTATTCATAACATATATTTATTAAGTTAAAATAAAAAAGTATATATCATTCTTGTATATTCATTGGTCTGTTCTTTGTAACTGCACTATTGAACTAGTGCAATAAGTTAAAGTGAGACAAATATAGGTTTTCTCACTCTAGCTTATAGCACCAGTTCAGCAGTGCAGTTACAAAGAACAGATCACATATAAATTCAAAATAAACCACCACACACATCATATCCAATTTGACCTCATGACGGCACATCGGCCAATCTCTGGTTAAAGCTAGCGGTATACGGTGCTTGTTCTCGTGCTGGATTGCTGCATCAGAACGCAGTATTTTCATCCAGAAAGTAATCCAGCACGAAAACAAGCACCGTGTGCAGCTGGTGTGCACTTGGCCGCGTTCCGTTTCACGCATATGCGCGCATTTATATATAGTTCATGTGACGTATACTATAGGAAATGCGCACATAATGCGTGAAACGGAACGCAGTCCTTGTTTCTGATTGGTACATTTCCGAAGATGGATGGAAATGCACCAATCAGAACGCAGTATTTTCATTCAGCAAGCAATCCAGCACAAAAACAAGCACTGTGTGCCGCTGGCTTAGGCCTAGTTCCACAACTTGCTTTAAACGGGGCTTAAAGCTAAACCGATGGTTAAAAGCAATAGTATATGCGCATATACTATTGCCAGAGAGGAAGCTGAAAGCGGCCAACACGGCGTTTTCGGCGACACCGATTTTTCGCACTGGGAATGGGCGCTATCTGCATCTATTTTGAGAGGGGAACTACGACGCTACATCCACTTTTAGGTCTCGACGGTAAAACCTGCATCTGATAGCAGTCCGTGCTACATCCATTTTCAGGCGGTTTATGTCCGTGCTACAACCATAATAGCGTACTTGACAAGCACGGTCTCGCGCATTGTTATGCATTTGTAACATGAATTAACATGTTAACATGCACAAAAAAAAAAGAATTGAGATTGTATATGATTAATATCATGAAGATTATATACGATTTTTATCGATATATAAATATATGATAAGATAATATTTTGTGTGTACCCAAAATTATTTTTCCAAAATATTTCAGCGTTACGTTAGTATTTATTTATACTCCGGCAGGCGCTTTTTAGCGCAGTTGTGTCCGTGTGCATGTGTTGCATTGAAAGTGTGCGTGACGTACGTGTGCATATACGCACTCACACACACACACATACACACACACACACACGTGTCATACGCAACAGATAGAATCTCAGGGTATATGCTTAAACATTTTCAATTGCCGTACGTTTCTATGTAAGAATGTAGTCGGCACACACACGCAGAGAAACTGCTCCCGTCTATCCGTCTGAAGTCCCGTCCTCCGCTCGGCTTGTTTTGACGAGCCAAGCGAAAGAGAGAAAGAGAGGGACTGTGTTCTCTCCATCTCGCTCTGATTCGCAACGTTGCCGAGATTGTGCCTCCCGACACACGGCCGAGATTGACATTTCACTCTCGGCGTGAATCCAACGAGATGATCAATAGCAATCGATTTCGACTAAACTCGTTGTGTCGATAGATTTGCATGACAAATTAACATTGCACTTAAAGATACGGCGTAGCATTGAAGCGTTTGTAAGAAAGTCGCGATTGAAAATCGCGAGTACTTCATGAACCAAATGAAGGAGCGAACTTCTCAAAGAGCGTGTGGCTTAGAGGAAGTACGCTGGACTCGCGGGGTTGAGGTCGGTGGTTCGCATCTCCTCCGCGGTCGGCGTTGTCCTTTTTCGCCAATTATTTTTTTTTCGTTTTTTAGAAAAATGCACGTGTTGCATACAACATGCAGGTTAAAGTTTTCCAAGCTTTCTCCGTTGATATCCCCGCTTCTACTGGGAGTAGAGAGTCGTCACATACGGCAAAATGTAGGGTTTTGAGAGCACTTTAATTTGGTGCCAGAACCAGGCCTGTATCTCTAACCGTTTAGGAGATATCGAAGGTTAAAGTTTTCCAAGCTTTCTCCTTTGATATCTCCGCTTCTACTGGGAGTAGAGAGTCGTCACTTACGGCAAAATGTAGGGTTTTGAGAGGACTTTAATTTGGTGCCAGAACCAGGCCTGTATCTCTAACCGTTTAGGAGATATCGAAGGTTAAAGTTTTCCAACCTTTCTCCGTCGATATCTCCGCTTCTACTGGGAGTAGAGAGTCGTCCATGTAGTGCAAAATGTAGGGTTTTGAAAGGGCTTTAATTTGGTACCTGTCCGAAGCCTGTATCTCTAACCGTTTAGGAGATATCGAAGGTTAAAGTTTTCCAATCTTTCTCCGTCGATATCCATCCTTCATCCGTCGATATCTCCGCTTCTACTGGGAGTAGAGGGTCGTCCATGTAGTCCAAAATGTAGGGTTTTGAAAGGGCTTTAATTTGGTACCTGTCCGAAGCCTGTATCTCTAACCGTTTAGGAGATATCGAAGGTTAAAGTTTTCCAACTTTCTCCGTCGATATCTCCGCTTCTACTGGGAGTAGAGTGTCGTCCATGTAGTCCAAAATGTAGGGTTTTGAAAGGGCTTTAATTTGGTACCTGTCCGAAGCCTGTATCTCTAACCGTTTAGGAGATATCGAAGGTTAAAGTTTTCCAACCTTTCTCCGTCGATATCCAGTCTTCATCCGTCGATATCTCCGCTTCTACAGGGAGTAGAGGGTCGTCCATGTAGTCCAAAATGTAGGGTTTTGAAAGGGCTTTAATTTGGTACCTGTCCGAAGCCTGTATCTCTAACCGTATAGGAGATATCGAAGGTTAAAGTTTTCCAACCTTTCTCCGTCGATATCCATCCTTCATCCGTCGATATCTCCGCTTCTACTGGGAGTAGAGAGTCGTCCATGTAGTCCAAAATGTAGGGTTTTGAAAGGGCTTTAATTTGGTACCTGTCCGAAGCCTGTATCTCTAACCGTTTAGGAGATATCGAAGGTTAAAGTTTTCCAACCTTTCTCCGTCGATATCTCCGCTTCTACTGGGAGTAGAGAGTCGTCCATGTAGTGCAAAATGTAGGGTTTTGAAAGGGCTTTAATTTGGTACCTGTCCGAAGCCTGTATCTCTAACCGTTTAGGAGATATCGAAGGTTAAAGTTTTCCAATCTTTCTCCGTCGATATCCATCCTTCATCCGTCGATATCTCCGCTTCTACTGGGAGTAGAGGGTCGTCCATGTAGTCCAAAATGTAGGGTTTTGAAAGGGCTTTAATTTGGTACCTGTCCGAAGCCTGTATCTCTAACCGTTTAGGAGATATCGAAGGTTAAAGTTTTCCAACCTTTCTCCGTCGATATCTCCGCTTCTACTGGGAGTAGAGAGTCGTCCATGTAGTGCAAAATGTAGGGTTTTGAAAGGGCTTTAATTTGGTACCTGATCGAAGCCTGTATCTCTAACCGTTTAGGAGATATCGAAGGTTAAAGATTTCCAATCTTTCTCCGTCGATATCCATCCTTCATCCGTCGATATCTCCGCTTCTACTGGGAGTAGAGAGCCGTCTATGTAGTGCAAAATGTAGGGTTTTGAAAGGGCTTTAATTTAGTACCTGTCCGAAGCCTGTATCTCTAACCGTTTAGGAGATATCGAAGGTTAAAGTTTTCCAACCTTTCTCCGTCGATATCCAGCCTTCATCCGTCGATATCTCCGCTTCTACTGGGAGTAGAGAGTCGTCCATGTAGTCCAAAATGTAGGGTTTTGAAAGGGCTTTAATTTGGTACCTGTCCGAAGCCTGTATCTCTAACCGTTTAGGAGATATCGAAGGTTAAAGTTTTCCAACCTTTCTCCGTCGATATCCAGTCTTCATCCGTCGATATCTCCGCTTCTACAGGGAGTAGAGGGTCGTCCATGTAGTCCAAAATGTAGGGTTTTGAAAGGGCTTTAATTTGGTACCTGTCCGAAGCCTGTATCTCTAACCGTATAGGAGATATCGAAGGTTAAAGTTTTCCAACCTTTCTCCGTCGATATCCATCCTTCATCCGTCGATATCTCCGCTTCTACTGGGAGTAGAGAGTCGTCCATGTAGTCCAAAATGTAGGGTTTTGAAAGGGCTTTAATTTGGTACCTGTCCGAAGCCTGTATCTCTAACCGTTTAGGAGATATCGAAGGTTAAAGTTTTCCAACCTTTCTCCGTCGATATCTCCGCTTCTACTGGGAGTAGAGAGTCGTCCATGTAGTGCAAAATGTAGGGTTTTGAAAGGGCTTTAATTTGGTACCTGATCCGAAGCCTGTATCTCTAACCGTTTAGGAGATATCGAAGGTTAAAGATTTCCAATCTTTCTCCGTCGATATCCATCCTTCATCCGTCGATATCTCCGCTTCTACTGGGAGTAGAGAGCGTCTATGTAGTGCAAAATGTAGGGTTTTGAAAGGGCTTTAATTTAGTACCTGTCCGAAGCCTGTATCTCTAACCGTTTAGGAGATATCGAAGGTTAAAGTTTTCCAACCTTTCTCCGTCGATATCCAGCCTTCATCCGTCGATATCTCCGCTTCTACTGGGAGTAGAGAGTCGTCCTTGTAGTCCAAAATGTAGGGTTTTGAAAGGGCTTTAATTTGGTACCAGTCCGAAGCCTGTATCTCTAACCGTTTAGGAGAT